TTAATCCCCAGTTGCCTACAGGCACAGTGCTTGGTAAATAATACATATTCAAAAAAAATTTTTTAATGAATAATTGAATTAATAATTTTTAAGAACTCAAGACCTAGTAAAATATTTACATTTCAATACATATTTTGATTATTAAAAACAGAAAAAAGAAACTCTAAGCTCCCAAGCAGAAAGAATAAGTTGCTTTTAATGGTGCAAAAATCAGATTTCTCTTTTGCAGCATTAAATAACAGCAGAAAATAGAGCTGTGTTTATTAAATTCAGGGAGCACAACACTGAACAAGCAGTGATCATTGAGTACAATTAAAGATATAGAAATAAGTGAATACAGGAGCTAAGAAAAGAGTTGTATTTTTAAAATCTAACAGGTAACAAAAATTGAATAGGAGAAGATAAAAATTGGGAAGACTTCTTCAGTTTATATATGACTGAATGAAGACTGAGAAGTAGCGAAAAGTTCACAACTCATCCAGTAACCATCAACTGTATATGGCAGCAATCATGGGTTTTAGATCCTGTAACTTCATGGAAGGGAGCTGAACTGTGTGTGACAGAAGATCTTAGAATCATCACGCCAGACAATCAAATATACCATCTGCATAGTTAAAATTATCATTATCCTGGAGAATAAACTTTGGACAAAATGGGAGATCAACTAAGAAAAGCTATCCTATAGATTTAAGTTCAAATTTAAACTCTTACAGCTATTGGCTGACTCAGAATTCATGCTTCTTGCCTGCTACTTGTAGTATTACATATCCTTATCATTTTAAATAAAAATAATTTTGAAATACAAAATGAGAAAATCAAAACAAAGCAATATAACAAAACATAGGAAACTCATAGGCTTACAAATAACAAAAATCAGAAATATTAAAACATCAAAAAACAGGATAGTTCGAGTAGTTGAGTGACAATAGGGCAGCTGCCTGAAGATGATTCATAAAACTGAGGTAAGTAGTATTTTACCTGTTTCCTTAACAAGGATATAGAGATTTCAGTGGTTAAGTAACTTCTACTATTATATGCAGCTTACAGATATCAAAAGTAAGAATAAAATATAAGCCTTCTGGCTCCAAAGTCATGATCTGCCTAGAGCTTGCAACAGTGTGGCATATCTCTTAGACTCATGCGCTTTCATTGGAAATGAAAATTAGTACAAACTATTTGAAAACTAGTGTGGCACTTTTGTATTAAAAATCATAAAAATTTTCATAACTTTGAACCCCATAATCTCTTGTCTGGGATTGTATTCTGGGAAACTAATCCAATATGTGGAAAACAATAAATATGAAGATATTGATGGCAACAGTTTAATTAAAAGAGCAAAAGTTAGAAGCTACCCAAATGTTCCACGATAGAACAATGGTTAAATAATATTTGGTACACAAGGCATATGATAGAATATTACTTTAAAAAATGGAAAAATATTTATACGTAACAATAATGTTAGAGAATAAAAGTAGAACATAAAATTAGAGGTACATAATTATATCAAATAAATGCAATAAAAATATAGAAAGGGATACAAACACACACACAAAAAAATTGTGTGAAGGTGATAAAACAGTAGGTTATCTACCCTTCCAGTTTTAGATATTTGTATCTTTTTTAATGTTTTTAACCTCTTTTCAAGTGATCTCATATACAGTTCAAAGTTTATGGGTTATGAAATCTATCGTCAGTATAGAAATTAAATCGTGGAGAAAGAAATTGAATGAAGAGGAAGTTTCAACTTTAGAAAGTGTGTGTAACTTGTGAATACTATATTATCTCAATTCCAATTTAAGAAACACTAAAGAAGACTATATTAAACTCCAAATATTTGTTCTGTTTTTTTTTTGTTTGTTTTACCCTCTTCCTCATCAAAAAAAATAGTAAATAGGGGCCGGTCCCGTGGTGTAGCAGTTAAGTGCGCATGCTCCTTTGCTGGCGGCCCGGGTTCGGATCCCAGGCGGGCACCGTTGCACCGCTTGTCAGGCCATGCTGTGGCGGTGTCCCACATAAAGTGGAGGAAGATCAGCACGGATGTTAGCTCAGGGCCAGTGTTCCTCAGCAAAAAGAGGAGGATTGGCATGCATGTTAGCTCAGGGCTGATCTTCCTCACACACACACACAAAAGTAAATAATTATCACTTCACTGTGAAAGTAACAACTCCTCCTGTTCTTTTTTTTTACCCGCTAGAAAAAGAAATAATGTGTGGATTTCTTAGATTTCCCTCTAGATTTTAGCTGGTGCAGCTAGAATTTGTTTTTTCTTACATTCAATTACTTAGGAAACATTGTATCTCTTACTTAGGATGTTTAATTTCGTGGAAATCAGAACATTAAACATTCAATATTTAGAAGTCTAGATTTTGTATTGAAATCTATATTTGTATCAAAATCTGTAATTTGTTGAATTTAATCACACTCAACTCCCTCGAATACATATATATTTAATTAAGTTAAAATAGCCTAACCAATTAAAGAAAATTGAAACAGAACTGGAAATCAGATATATCACTGGAAGGGAAAGATACGTGTTTGTTCATCCAGCAACATCTCAGCCAAATTTGTGGTTTAAAAATAACTTAGAATTCTTCAATTATAAATATGCTTAGAGACTAAGCAAGATAAGTTAGTTTTTGGAATTGAGAATAATCAGGCCAGCATCATATAAAAGACAGTATTAGAGGATTCCAGCTTAATCAAACAATATCTGAAGTTCAGTTACTCAGCTAAATGCCAGTTCAAATCTGTGAAGAGAATGAGAAATATGCATTTGATCATCTTATTAGCCTTTTGTAAAAATATATAGATTAGAGATCTGTGTAGATGTATCACACAGAGTTCAGTTGCAAAGAGCTGAATTACTCTAACTAGTCTAAGTAAGAAGTGTTCTAGTATAGGTATTAAATGGTTACAAAATCATTGAGTTAAATTAACAGACTCCAGAGCGCTCTTTCAAGAATGACTATTAAAACCAAACTATAGGACCAAGCCACAAAGGAAGACGCTGATGTCTTCTAAAAGGAGGAAGCCACCAGCCCCAGAAGCACACTCCACTGCCGTGGTCCGGATGGCGCTACATTCAGGAAGCTGGTGTGGTCTGGAGGCCTCTGCGACTGTTGCCAGTTCCAGAGTCCCAACATGCTTGCTATGATTTGCACCAACAAGACGGATGCCCTGTGCCCTGCTTCTTGACTCCCATGAAGCTAATGGTTAGACGAGTCATTTATTAATGCCTACACCAGGGGAGAAAGAAGGAAAAGTAATGACTCCATTACTATGCTTACCAGCAAAAAAGCAGAAGCAGTGAAAGATCAACCTCCATCTCACTTGACTTTCTAATATCAGGCATGTGCATCTGACTGGCTAAACCTTAAACATATTCAGAGCCCTAACTGCAAGGGAGTCTTGGAAATATGGTTTTTATCCTTCCATCTTCTTCAGTACAGGAAGACACACTAGAATGAGGGGGAAATGGAAGTTGAGCACTAATGTATCATATCCCATTGGTTATTCAACATCTATACACATTCTTTTCCCCATTCAACAACTCCCCAAAAGCAACAATTAGCAACAACTATGTTTCATACTGACATAGTGCAAATCTCTCTTATACAAATGAGAATGTTCTCACCATCTCCCTAAAAAGGAGAGCCAAAGAAAATTCCAGTAGTCAATCTGTCCATCTGGGGGTAAAAGTTTATTCCTCCCTTAGTGAAATGCGTTAGAAAGCTACCTACCACCTACCTACAACACTCTCTATAAAATATCAGAAGAAAGGAAGAGGTCCACGTTATTTAATATTTATATACAAAACAGTACAAGGAAGAAAATATGGCTATTACAGTCTTCATTTCATAAAGCTGCAGTTACAGTTTGTAACTTCCTTCCTCCTGTACTCATTTCTTATTCCCTTTGCCTTCAGCCAGTATCTAGGCTGGTAGAGGCCTTTTAATATGACGTGGTGACTCAAATGATTTTCCTGAGAGATAAGAGCCTATAATGACCTCCCACGGTCACAAAAGAAAAGGCAGTCCTAGGCATGCTCCAAAATATCTCAAGTTCAAAACAAACTGCTCACTGCCCACATTGTGTAGCAGCAACCTTAGCTGAAAGAGAATCTGCAAAATGTGGCATTTGGCTTTCTAGCCTCTATAGTAGACAAAACACTTGCAAAAGGATGAAATGGGTGCAGTGATCCACTTCCTTCACCCCAGTGATTAACTGGGGAAAAAAGAACTACTCTTCCATTACTCTTACCACAGTAAATAAGTAGAGGGAAAAAAACCCCACTCTTTTATGCATATATGCATGGTTAAGTTCTAGTGTCTGAATAGGGTTAAGCTCCAGGTACCCAGAAACAATTACTGAGCGTCACAAAGGGATCAAGATTGGTATAAGACCATCCCCATGAGCTCATAACCAGGAAAGATCATCTCAATGCACAAATTGTGCTTTGACAAAAAGCTCTTCCTTTCTAATTTCCTCTCATATCCTAGCAATGCCATTCCTCTGCATTTAGACCTGTCCAAGGTATTGTGAATGTTCTGTCGCCTCTTTATTGAACTCATACAGCCTGTGTGATTCACCTTTATGTGGGGCCCAGAAGGAAATATTGTTCATGCCTTTTTTTCAAATATCTCATTCAAAGCTCCATGGCTTTGAATGGTAAATGATTCCGATGACCCATGAGAGAAGAGCACTTCTTCGATTTCTTTGAATGACTCTTCCTTAATGTTCTTCATGCTACCAGGGTACAAGGTAGCAACTTTTGCTGCTTTGCTGAGTGCTGCCGCGGTGCTGCAATTCACACAGATGCAAACCGGGCAACGACTATGACTATGATTTTGGCCTCGTTAGTGGGACCCGTTAATTGGATGATATAGAGGTGATTTCCTAGGGATGGGTTTGAGAAACATCCAAAAAAAGAAAAAAGTTCCAACAATCACAAGCACAGAGAAACTTTAAAATTAATCTGTCCTGTGATAATTTGTTGACAGGTTGGTTATCGGAAAGACATGGAACAAGAAGATGCAGCAGAAACAGTCAAAACGAGGGGGAATGAGTCATCTGTCATCCTGACAGGATTAGAAGGAAATACGTTATATCACTTCACAGTGAGGGCTTATAATGGAGCTGGATATGGGCCACCTAGCAGCGAAGTGAGTGCAACCACCAAGAAATCCCGTAAGTGACCTGGGCTTTTTGTTTGTTTCAGACAAAAGGGAAACATCTTTTAACATTTCTGAAAGCCACGTGAGGTACATAACAAGCAGAGTTGAAGGGGAGTTTTGATTCATAGTCTTGCTTCAATGCTTAGATCTGAATTCCAAAACTAGCTCAGAAAATTTTGCATTCACAGTAGATAAAGGTTATCTTCCTGTGAAACAGGGCTAAGCGATTTTGACACAGAAGAGAGATAAAAGGATTCAGGCTCAAAAGCTCAGTAGAGTAGCTATTAAAATGACACTCCTGGAGCAAAACCCTCCTTATCTGACTCTAGCTGGAAGGAAGCCTTATGGTGCCAGCCAACTACTAAACACAAGAAAAGATTGAAATGCTCAAAAGGATTTCAGTGAAGTAATGTGTTTAAGACTCCTTGTCAGTTCACTTTCACTTTTTATCTTGCAGCCCCCAGTCAAGCACCTAGCAACCTCAGGTGGGAGCAGCAAGGCTCTGAGCTTTCTCTGGGCTGGGAACCTGTCAGACCATTAGCCAACGAATCTGAAGTCATGGGCTACAAGGTCAGTGTCTCTTCACTCTCTTGGATAGACACTCATCTCGAAAATTGTTATCTTGTGCATGTACAACTAGTAAGGCATAAAAAGATCTATTAACATACCTGTTTTTTCTCAATCATTTTCTATCTGTATCTTAGAAAGAGACTTCCTGCAGTGGGGAAGCCAAGGCAATCAAAATCAGTTTCAACTGCACAAGGCAAAGGAAGGGAATGGGTAGGAAAAGCAACATCAATTTTAATACAAGGTGAAGATGGCTCCATGAAGCACAGTGTTAGGACCAGCAGAACTCAGGCAGAGAGTCCCGGAATTCTCTCCCAGCAGACAGACTGTGCTGGCAGATGGTAAAGATTGGATGACTTAGTTTGAGTAGAAAGACTTTCTATTAGCAAAGAAACAGAAGAAAAAACGCTGGGGCGAGCACGCGCTGGATAGGAAAGAGTCCATGGAGAGAAACAGCAAGCTCCAAAATACCTTTCATGTATGGTCATCCTGCTATGTGCCAGAAAGAAATCTGGAAATATGAAAACATTTAGACAGTTTTTTTTGAAAAACAACTTTGTCTCTGACTTTAAAATATATGTGGTCTATGTATTGAATTGGCTGAATTTCAAATTCTTGTTCCATACGTCAGATTCTATTTATTGTGTTAAACTCCACATAGAATCATTAGTTGAATATTATTTATAGCAGAATTTTTAAATATTTCAATGATAATATTTAGACTAAAAAGCATCATTTAGATGGCTTTTCAACTGTCAAAGATGGTAACACAGCATTTTGTATACAAAGTGCTAAAATTCTGAAGCTAAAAACTGACGAAGTTGTAAATGGAATATATATGTGTTTAAGGTAAGTAATTCCCATTAAGAATATTTTAAGACACAAACTGTGGCATTTATTACAGATTGTAATTAATATGGATCACAGACACCCTCATACTCAAACACACACACTAAAATCTATCCTAATCTTTATGAATATTGAATTTGATCTTTTGGGGGAGGGCAGGTGAGCCATTTTCTATACTCTTCTCCTAGCCTTCTTCTTTCCATATCCTTCCCCAAAAGACCATGTCCTCACAACTGGTTCTCTAAGGCAAATATACCCTTCAATGATTAAGGGTAGCAATATGGCCAGAAATGGTGATCTACTATCTAAGAACCAATCTAATATCATTAGAACTATGGCAAGCAATCTCCCAAACTGGAGAGGCAAATAGAACACAAGAAAGAGCTAGATAAAAGCATATGGCCACCTGGAACAGCCATTCAACTCTAGATACCTCTCAGGTGAGAAGAGAAATACCATATGACCTGGAGAACATGTGAGGTTGGGAATAGAGTTCCCAGGTGAGGTGACACTTCTCTTTGCTCACAACTGCCCCTCCTATCTCTGTCAGTGCTCCTCCTCTTTATACACGAAAATCTCCCCAACCAGACTATATGTGATTGAAGGCAAGGACTCTGTCTTACTCATCTCTTTATCTCCAATGCTTCTAGAATGCATGAATAAATTAATTAATTTTGACCCAGCTAGAAGTATGTCATGCAATTGCTCATAAGTGTATATTCTCAGATGTGTGTTTTTTCCAGCATGGCCTTCCCATTTGTTGTGATGTAGTGGGAAAAGAGCACTAGCTTCTGAGTAAGACAGCACAAGTCACCTTGGAATGCCTTCTTCCTGGGAGAAGAATCACTAGCATGGTCCATCTTAGTTGTATAAATAATGACAAGTAGGCTCACACTGACAGAGGATTTTATTTCTTTTATTTTCTTGAAATGGCTGTACCTCCTTATGTCCCTGAAAAGGAAGAGCTGGTTCCTGAGAAAGAAGTCTGCTGATAACAAGTGGAGTGAGACCTCAAAGTCTGTTCTTTTGCCTCTAAACTTTGTTAGAACCTCTGATGGATGAGCTAATCCCCAATGAGAGAGCTACTGGCAGGAATGGCACCAAAGGCCCCATGAGTGAAAAAGGACTTCAGACTGATGACAGGGGCTTAGAGCCTGGATTCTCCCGGGAAGGTCTGGTTTTCACAGGGCAGGTGGCTAAGGATGAAAGCTCCTCCTGACACAGGCACAGTGGGACAGGAATGTGATTAGAAACAATACAAATACAAACTAACTAGATGTAATCCAGAGAACACAAGCTAAGAGCCCCCTTTTCTGAGCATGACTTTGAAGAGAACTACCATGGCCTAGGCAAAGATCTGCATTGCAGTGAAAGAGCTGTACCATCTGGAGGGAGGTTCACACAAATGTGTGGCCAGAGCTGGGCATGGTACTCAGAGGGAGAAGACTTCCTCTGCCGTTCCTTCTACATCCCAAATAACTACCGCCAGACCGAGACTGGCACCAGTGTAATGGTGGGCCACCTCTTCTTAAGCACAGTAGTGTGTGGCAGTCACAAAAGACTAACAGAAGTAGAGACCTGTAGCACACTAATTATTTCTCTTTCTACAAGGTAATTTGAGTTAGGCCTGACCCATTAAGACTGAATTTGCCCCCTGGGATTCTTGGAAAATCTGGGGTAGAGATTGTCCTGCTAATTAGGGCAAGGGAGAACTTCCACAATTAAGTGGAATATCAAAAACAGAAGTAAATTTATTTTCACCGTTTGTCTTTGCCAAGTTACCTTACTTTTATAAGCAAAAGGGACTACTAGAAATATATGTGGTATGTAGGTTTGAGGCTGGAAACTTGGAGTCAAAGCCTGAGGTTTAAAATGCAGTGATTGTGTATTCCACCTTTTGCTTTCAAGTCCAGTTTAAGGTAGATGAATTCAGAAAAGTCTTCATCTAGAAGTCTTCCAGATTGTGAAAATGATTGGAAAGTGATAAATATGGAGAAAAAAGGATTTGTACCATAGACTTGATCCATAAATAATCCACTAGATTCTTCCATTTTATAGTTAAGATACTGTATACAGGATACAACTCATTTTCAAAAAATAAACCACAGAAATAGAATAATAAGATAAAACAGCAGAATTTAACATTCAACTGATCCATTTTCTAAGACAGCTTGGATCTTACTTCCTTACTTGATTTCAGAGATTGAGATGTCAGCAATGTACATAAGGATATTACCAGAGAAAGATATGATGATAAGATAAATTTTGTGCAAAGGTGTTAAGAGGAAAAGGTAGATCTCCTCATCACAAAATCTTATGAGGGACCTGGAAAGTGAGCAAGAATGCAGTGAAAGAAGGATGGAATTGAGCCATATATGGTTTTGTCATAGGTAACACATTAAAACTGAATTCGTTCAGATAACTGTTAAGCATTACCTAGTAGTGAAATTTCTCACCACTTTTTGAGACTATCCAAGAGATCCTGGCCTTCTTGGGATTTTGATTAAGAAGTCTAGATTTAATAATAATTTCAAAACATCATAGCTTTCATTAACAAGTAAGAATAGAAGCATGAAGAACGAGAAAAAGTTTGGAGAAGAGTTGTCTCTTACAGACATAGCTACAAATTATTCCCACTCAAATAACTCCCCATTTGAAAAGTTGAATCAAATTTTGAAGTTTATTTAGCTTGTTTATGACTTCTTCACGTCAATTAATGTGTGACACTTTCTTTTTTTTTTTTTTTTAACTTTTCCAGTTCAGAATCAGCCACATATTTTAATATATTATTTATAAATTTTTAGGAAAGTGGAACAAAAACTTCAAATAAAAATTTTCCTAACTTGACATTTTTTCCAAATAAAGGTTTTTAAATGAAGAAAACTTCATTTTTTTAAAACCCCTAGTTGGGGGTCTGTATCTAAAGTCTTTAGTAACTTTGGAACATGTTATACATCTGTAATTGGCATTCTTAAAGAAATACCAATAACAAAACTGTGGACTAAGGTCTATTCAGCCATAATTATTCTTAGTGATCTTGAGAATGGAGAATTTTTTTTCTTTATTCTGTGAAAGAAGTTTATGAAGATTATCAGGTAAAATAGCCATCTTATCCCCACTTTATTCTCCCAGTACAGATTGATGCCCAAGTGAAAGGGAAAATCAGTACTAAATGCCCAGGGGCTATGCTTTCACTTGTGCAAATATCTTCTCCCCCACCAGGAGAAACTTTTGTCCCTTCAGAAAAGACACAACAGGCGGAAGGAAGGGCCTCAGGCTACATCCAAAAAAACAGGGTCTTGTTTTCCTAGTCGACATCTAGAAAATATCCTTTCCTAGAGACACAACCCCTTCACCGTCCACCTCCCTCCGAACCACTACTTTCTGCCCATTTACAGAGCTAAGAAGAGTTGGGGGGAATCAGGCTCAAAGTTTACCAGATAGTATATGATCCATCAATATAGACAGAAGTTTTTGTTTGTTTATTCAACTTAGATAGCAGTTAGGGCCTTCCAGACTCCTGAGATATATGTATACTTGGACTGATATTGTATTCCACACAGTGTGGGATTTTGAAGCCAATCCCTATATTTCACCAGCATCTCAGGGAGCCTAGTCTCTGGCCATTCTAGTCTAGTCTAGACATATAGACTAGCCATTTCCAGATCATGCCTTTGAGAATAGCAGTACTGCATTAATTTTGTTTAGGATCACCTCTTTGGATAACCTACTGCTTTCAGTTCCTTAAGTAGAATTTGAGAATAGTCTTGACAATACATTAGACAATTTCCTTTATGCCCAAAGATAGCTGTCATAGCAACTGTCAATCTATAAATGTCCAGATTGTCAAAGTATTCCCTCCCTACTATCAATAACTATATCTGACATGTCTTGATAACTTCTTAACCTTCTCATATTTCTCATTCTCATTCATTTTTTCTAAATCTGGATTTTAAAATGAGACAAAATTCTCTAAAGCACCTAAGACTAACCATTAATTTAATGTATCTTTTCATTTAGTATACCTACTTACCAAATCATAGCTCTACAGCTTCCTGGCTGTATTGGTAAAAGCCACAGTTAATTTCAAACTCCTTTTGCTACCATTAACTGATTGTTTTTCCTGCCTTTACCTTTTGTTCCTAAATCTCAACTGGTCCACAAATTTTTCTTCAACTCTAGATTTCACAGCAACATTAGATATGCATTACTGGCTGCATTTTTTCTTTGTTATAAGAATTGTAATTTATTGAACCATAATAACAATGTCCTCTAAAATAGTCACTCCCCTGCCAATCCTCACCAATTTACATACTTTCCCATTGCTATAAATTTGCTTTCTAATTACCTCATGTAGATGATCAGAATTCTAATTCATTATATTGCTACAGTCAAAACGAGAAGCATAAATTCTGATACAATTGTCATTTTTTTAAGCCAAAAGAACCTGGTATAGGCATCCTCCAAGAACTGTTCCTGATTCCCTAAACCCTAAGTACCCACTCAGTGCATGGCTATACCACCAAATGTGTTTCCTATTGCAGTATATATCACACTTAATTTCATTGTTATCTGTCTCCACTATCAGACTGTAAGTGCCACAAGGGCAGGAACCATGTGGTCTTATTCTCTGATAATCTCCAGTATTTTGCCTGGACCACATCAGATGTCCAATAAATATTTGATGATGCTCTTATTACTTTGCAACCACATTGAGGCTATGGCTTCCTTCCCTGTAAGGATTTCAGTAGATACAATTATTGCATATGTTATATATTTTTAAAGAGAAGTTACTTCTCTCCCAAGACCCGGAAGTAAATTTAAATCCATGAAAGACAAAGGAAGTGAAATGGAGGGAGCATACATTACCAGAATGCAGAGGGGAGGATCAAGTACAGGCAGACTTCAATATATGAAAAGAATGCTTTTCTAAAGTTTTTTTTTCTTGTATATAGGTTAGTTCAAGCTCAAAACACATATTTTATAAGAAAACAGTATTATAAACTTTTGTCTAGCTTCCCAAGGCAGTCCATCTTTTATGATGCAATTGAAAACTGACCACTGGCAGTGAACAATGATGGCAACAGAATAAATAGCTTTCTCTTATCAAGCTTACCATGCTAAGGTATTTTATATGCATCTTTCTCATTTCATTCTCCTAACAAAACCATGAAATAGATATAATTATCTCTCCTATACACTACAGGCACTTGAGGTTTAGAAAGGTTAGTAACTTGCCCAAATTTACCCAGAGAGGAGTGTGTAAGAGATTGTTTTTTGTTTCGTTTCGTAGGAGATTGTTTTGTATCCAGATCTGTATGACTGTAAGACCATTGTTCTTCCCATTATGCAAAGCAATCATATGATAATACCAACAATTATGAAAAAGCACAAAAACAATGGAACTGAATAAAAATTCATTTAAAAATATCTTAACTGCTGCGACTTGACTATTATACAAAAAAAAAAAAGATTTATTGGAGGCAAATGAGCAGAAACAGCATAATATAGTGAAATAGCTCTGAACTGATCAACAGAATATGATCTTCCAATATAATTTCTTCCCTAACTAGCCATATGATCTTATATAAATCACATAACCTTTTTACCTTAGTTTTATGACATGTAAACACAGGATAATTCTGTGTCCTAATTTGTAGTTCTGAAACTCTGTTTGCCATGAATACATGTTCAATTCTAGTACTGTGAACAGATGTCAAAAAAAAGCCTTAACTTTGCTACTCAGTGTATCCAAATGCCAGTTCACCAAAAAGCAAACTCAAAAGTAAAAACAAAAATAATTAATAAAATTTTAAATTTTCGGCCATTTCCTACCTTGTAAAGGATTTACTGGCACTGGCCCGGTGGCATAGCAGTTAAGTTCACGGACTCTGCTTCAGCGGCCCGGGGTTCGCAGGTCCGGATTCCCAGGGTGGACCAACACACCACTTGTCAAGCCATGCTGTGGTGGCGTCCCATATAAAGTAGAGGAAGATGGGCATGGATGTTAGGCCAGGGCCCAGCAAAAAGAGGAGGATTGGCATTGGATGTTAGTTCAGGGCTAATCTTCCTCACACAAAAAAAAAAAAAAAAGATTTATTATTGATATATTTAGCAAATTTTCCCTTCACTCCTTTCAAACAGTTTGAAGATGACAGCTTTGAGTACTCCCTCAGGATACTATTCATTTCAAGAAGCAGGAATAAAAGACTTTCAGTGGTCTGACTCCTCTGTAGCCTCATTTCTCACTATCCCCATATGTCTTCTCTCCACTCCAGACCCTAATGCTGGGTTTCTTATTGCTTAGATTTATTTTTTAATCTTCGCTTATGTCTTCCTAGAATTCTTCTCCTCCCCTTCTCCAAATGGTGAACTCTACTCATCTTTAAATACTTAACACAGATTCACCTCCTCTGAAAAGCTTTCCCTAAAACCAAGGACAGAGTTAAACGCTCTCCTCTGTGCTTCCATAGCACTTTATATTTACCTCGATCGCTGCATATAACACATATTGCATTTGCTGACATATCTGTCTAAGCTGTAAGCTCCCTGTACTTAGCTCAGAATGTGACATACAGTAGGCAGTCAATAAACATTTGGAATCCTCAATTGAATATCAATTGTTTAAACCTCTGTTATTATTCCAGGTTTTTTATAGGCAAGAAGGTCACAGCAACAGTCAAGTTATTGAAACGCAGAAACCTCAAGCAGTAGTACCACTCCCCGATGCTGGAGTCTATATTATTGAAGTTCGAGCATATAGTGAAGGAGGGGATGGAACAGCTAGTTCCCAAATCAGGGTACCATCATATTCAGGTAATTTTGACATAATAGGCTTAATTTTGTCAATAATGTCAAGATGGTGTAAACCTCATGAAAATTAATATGATGGATTGCATGGCTCAGAGATTTTGAAGGGTCTGTTTTCTCACTCTGATTGCTATATCATCCTCCGATTATACAAACCATGGTGGTCTGCCCACAGTTGCAGAATTTCTACAAATGTGGAAAGGAGTTAACATTTTCATTAAAATGTCCTTATTTGTGAAATTTGCTTGCCTATTATGGTCTCAAGTAGTACCTTGGTGGCCATTTGGGCTTTGCAACATTGCTTTTAAACTGGCAATCCACTAGTTTAACATACCTACTTCTCTATTGTCTTAATTGCCTTTATTATTAGCTAATGGAGAGTAAAGGACAGGAAAGTGTAAAGGGAATGCTTTTTAAAATTAAAATCTGATCATATTTATTGATTTCAAAATAGATTATAAATTTTATTGAGCATCATTGGATTTTTGGTTTTGTTTTTTTTCCGGCTTTATTGAAATATAGAGATATAACACTATGTAAGTTGAAGGTGTACAACATGTTGACTTGATACACCTGATACATAGCAAAATGATTACCACCATAGCGTTAGCTAACACCTCCATCATATCCCATAACTGCCGTTTCTTTTTTGTGGTGAGAACATGTAAAATCTATTCTCTTAGCAACTTTCAAGCATATGCTACAGTATTATTAACTATAATCACCATGCCGTATATTAGACCCCCAAAACTTATTCAAGCATCTTTGTCATTATTAGCAATATTAATAATTTCTAGCTTTTTCTGAGCTCTTACTATATGTCGTAAGTGCTTTACATACATCAGTTTGTTTAATCTTTATAACAATCATATGAGGTAGGTGGCATTATTCCTGTTTTACAGAGAAAATTTAAGTAACTTGCCTAAGATCACACTAAGTGAAAGAACCAGGATTCAAACCCAGGTTTGCTTGTCTCCAAGGCCACATATCTTCACTACTACCATCATTATCACTAATTACAAGGGAAATTAATTAAAAACTAATTAAAGGAAGAGAGGTTTTACAAATTTGGAAGAAAGTAACTATTTCATTGAGGTTGTCAAAAAAGGAAGCAAAAGATTTAGTTAAATGTGCAAATCTCTCATTAAGAAAGTATTAGGCAATTTTCCTTAAAGTCTTCTATAGAAAATATTTAATGTGCATTAATTAATGGGTACTAATGAGCATTATTTATTGAGTAATCACTCCTAGGCAGCATTGTCAACCTAAAGGGAAGAATCTAATGGCATCCTGTAGGTTCTATTATATTCATATATAATGTATATATCCAATATGTATATTACATTTATCAACTTGGATTAAGACCAGAGGCATTGCTTATGATTTTTTTTTGATGACACAAAGTGAGATAGAAGGCAAATGTAGTGGAGAAGATAATAAGACTAAAACTTTGAGGAAAATCTATTGACATAATACTTGGTAAGCAAATTATGGCATAAAAAAAGATGAGATAATGTTATTGGGACAACTGATAAAATATGACTAATGTCTGTAGATTAGATAATGTTATATCAACATTAATTTCCTGTTTTTAAAAATTGTACTGTGATTATATAAGAAAATGTCTTATTTTTAGGAACTATACATTAAAGTATTTAGTGTTAAAGGTATATCATGTCTGCAACTTACTTTCAAATAGCTTAGGAAAAATGTATATATTCATAGAGAGAATAACAAAGCAAGAATGTAAAACATGAACATTTAAGGAATCTGGATAAATTTTTTGTTCTATTGTTACAACTTTTTGGTACATCTAAAATTATTTCAAAATGAAACATTAAAAATAAAAACCATAAGATTCAGGGAACCTGACTTTTTCAGAAACTCAGGTGAAAAGACTTAAGAATTTAAATACATTGTGGCCACACTAAACCTCAATACACTTTATGATTCATTTATAGAAATACAGTTTCTAGAGCAAGAAAAGTAATGATGTCTCTACATTGATTAGTTCACAATTGAACTGTTCAGATGTGCGTGTTAAATTTTCAAGAGCACCATGAAAGACTAAAGATTATTTCTGAAAAGTGAAAAAGATGACAACTCTCCTCTTTGATTACCTTATAAGTCTCAAATTTCTAATAATAATACGAAGACCCTTTACTGAGCCCTGATCGTGTTCTTGGCATTACGCTAGGTGTTTTCCATATATTATCTTATTTTATCCTTGCAGCAACCCTATAAGTTTTTTATTATTCTTTGACTCTCCAAGGTTCCTTTCAACTGTAACACAATCACATTCTAAAGTATCATCTGGGTAATATCAGCCCCGAGCTTGAAAGTGTTTATCAAGACCTTGATTCTCCCACTTATATTTTAATTAACTTGTAACTTCTATTCCATTAAAAAAAATTGTCAACTTTTATGCTTAGTTAATAACACTTTGCCAGTGCAATTCATTTCCTGAGCTTTGATAAAGTGAAATCTCATAGTATTGTCTATCTTAGACCCATAAAACGTGAGCAACAATTGGTTTCATTCTTATTTTCCAAAAACCAAGAAGGCTAAGAGGTTGAATGACTTGCTCAAGTGAAATAGCTAGTTAGTTTTAAAGCTGGGACTAGAACTTAGTCTAATGTTGTTGCTGCTTGTGTTTTGTTTTGCTATAACAAAATAATGTTTTTGCTTTGTGGTTTCTATGTGGAATTTGAAATGTAGATCCTACTTAGCATTCTGAAAGTGAGATGTTTTTGTAAAAGTGTCATGTAAGTTGATTTAACAAGGACTCAGCCACTCTCAAATAAATAGAAAGGATGTTTTCGCAGTTTTTATTTAGCAAGCATGCATATACCAGTTCAGTGAGGCTTCTGTCATCATGCCTTTCTTATAGCTCACATGTGGCCATGCACTTTATAATAACCCCATTTTGTACAAGTTGAAATATATGTAACATTCTCCAATATGTTGATTAATAGGTTTTATTATTGCCGTAGCGGTATAAAAATTTTCAAAGGGAAGAAGATTTGCTGCTTTGTGTGTATGTATGTGTGGTTTACCAAACAAATGATTCTTCAGCTTATAAATAAGCATCTGGAAAATAAATTTAGACTCTATTTTGGTATCAAAAGTCATGCCCAGAATCCCATTACACTCAATCTGGCCAGAGAGGATAACTTGACAGAGGGATGATTTCAAAACTTGGGTGGTATGTTTTATTATTATTTTATCATTACGGTTTTAGTCAAGGTCAATCATTATTTTAAAAGAGACAATACATAAGAGCATCCATTTCCACTAATCCCTAGCTCAATTACTTTAAGCAAGTTCTGTAATCTTTCTAAGCCCCAGTTCCCTCATCTGCAGCAGAGGGATAAATAATAGTACTTATCGCATAGGAATGTTGTGAGGATCAAATAAGATAATATGTGTAAAGGGCTTAGTACAGTGCACGGCATATAGTAAGGATGTGTCAAATATCAACCATGATGATGATACTTCAGAAGACTTCTGGCTTGAAGAATCGTTCCTGAAGTTAGATCTAAGGGTAGTACTTAGTTTGTGATTATGTGGACCTATCACAACTACTTCAAACTAATCATTTCAGATCAGTGAATTTAATCAAACAACCAGCCTAATAGATTAACTGCATATAATGTTTGGTGTCAAGAAGAAAGAACTTCTCCTGGGTGTAGGTAAGAGTAACGAAAGATGGCTGTCTTTTGCCAAGTTTGGCATGAGAATCTGGAATGTGAGCCTGCCCAACTGAAACAGTCAAATCATTCAAGGACCCATAAGTAAATATAATAAAATAAATAAGATTTTATTATTATTAAATTGAAAAATTGACTACAGTATTTAAATTATGAATACCCATTGCCAAAAACTTTTACAAATTATTTTTACTGCATGTCCTGGACTACACACTATAGAAATTATTTTATTTTTCATACATGGAATTTGACATGTTTTCCATCAATGCATCATTGGTGAAAACTAGGCTGAATGTCCTGATTAGATGTGTTCGTTAGATGTGACATAGCCTTTTTAACATAGTATTCCATATATGTACTTCTGCCCTCCATATAACTTTTGGGAACCCCAGACAATGTCTTGTGTCATCAGTACGAGGGACACACTCATCAGAAATAGGACCAACCTTGTTCTCATTTGTCTTACATACCTAAAAACCACTCTTTCCTAGCTCAGGCAAAACCAAAATAATTTGCTCCATTTAATGCTTCTGTTTTTCACAGGTGGGAAAATCACTAGTGCTCAGTCGACCCTCCACACTCTCTCCACGTCTTCATCATCAGTAACGTTGCTTTTGGCATTGATGATTCCTTCAACCTCTTGGTGAAAACTGCAGACTTAATTTGCTTTTCTTTGCTTTAGCTTGATAACAGCGGTAAATAGAGTGTAGTGTAAGTGGAGACCCAGGACCCTGAGATGAGCTTTAGAAATTTGGGATTACACATGATGCACTTACAGGAAGTTGGGGAGAATATTACTTACCCATCAGGTTTCTCTTTGGTTTTTGTAAATGGAGAGGACAGTTCTTGGTCCAATAAAAAATATGCAGATTGTATGTAATGAATTTTTGTAAGCAAAGGTAATTTCTGTCAAATGTATTCTTTACTTTTTTAATATGTTGGAATTTGATTTTATATCTGATGACCCTGAGTGTGTGCCATCCATTTGTTAAGTAAGTGGTCTCTAGCTGATCTGTTTCAAACATAAATACAAAATTGAGAATGAAAAGTTTGCTTAAGACTCCGAGTCTACTGTTTTTCATTTTCCCTTCGGCTGACTGTTCCAATTGACAAACCAGCAGGAGATATGAAAAAAATACTTCAGTTATGTGATCCATTATAGAATAAGTACACAAAAATTTTGTCAAAAAATATTGTATGATTGCATAGTGAAATAGCAAAATTTGTCAATGTGCTATTCTATATGCCTCCCTGGAGCAAATTATTAGGGTAGGGAATAAGCCGTTTACATTAGCACAAGGTGAATAGAAACTGAGTCCAAATGAATTTAAGTGCTATTGCTTTTCATCAAGTACTATGTTATCTAGCTGCAAATATAGTAAATGTTTATTTTTAATAACAAAAGAGAGTTTAAAGTCACAAAAAATATATGATCACTAAAAACTGCAGACACTGACATGCTGCCAAGGGTGCTAACTTGAAAACGAAATGAATATGAGACAGAACTTTCCCATTTCCCCACCTACTGCCAAAACAGATGTTGAATTAAGTCCAAGCCTTTCTTCTAATTGCAAAAAATTTTAAGGACAATAAAAATTTTTTGTGCAAATAATTATGCATACATATAATCTGTGAATTAAAATGGTTCAAGCATAACAAATTTCGATGTTTTAAAACAGTTCCATGAATCACATCCCACTTATAAAATCTTATGAACTATTAAAATAAACAGGACCTCTTGGATAAACTGATTTTTTTTAATTAAGCTATGGAAACATGGCCTCAGAACAAGAGCTCAGCTAGTCTAACCAGCCATACATTGCTTGGGAGGTGATCCCCATTTGCTATTTTAAAGAGTCAATTCGAACCTAAGTGATTCTAGATAGCTGTTGGAAAGTGAGGTGAAAGTTTTCTACTTGATATCTTACAAAAGTTCTAACCAAACTGAGAATGTGCCAGAGTTTCCCTTATAGTCAAGATGCCTGGAGGGATAGTTATTGCAAAGTTATATGCCAAAAACGAGCCTGAAGAAACTACACTTTTACAGGTGATATTGGTATGAGAACAAAAACTAGTTTCTTTTCTTTTATAAAATCTAAACCTATTAATTCTACTTGTATCTTTAACAGCAAGCAAAATGAAGCAATACTGAGCTCAAACTGCTGGCTCTAGAGGTTACTCATTGTAGAATCAGAGAGGCAATTGGAGTTTCTGTTCTGAACATACTAAAAGATTGGTTTCAGAGCCACAGTACAACTATTTATGTTGGTTACTCATTCTCCTTGGGGGGAATTATGTCCAAGACACCCCTAAACAAACAAGAAGGGATTTAAAGCCTATTTTAGTTAACAGATCATAGTAAATTACTACAGATGGTGAATATTGGAGCCTGTGAGTAATAACCACCAAGTGGCCTTCCTTGAGCACCTCTTTTGGTGGGAGAAGCTGTACTTTGCAATTAGAGCGATGCTAACTGTTTAGCAGGCAAAATATGAGTTCTCCTGAGTATGGTGTAGCTTGCAGGAGAATATTGTGCATCTGGAAAAAATACAGCAAGAATAATAAAGAATGGACAATAGTTTTTACTTCATATTTGATGAATCAAACCATTCTCTTCATTTTCCATGGTTTTTTTATACTAGACATAACAAAGGACTTTAAGAATTAAGTTATTACTGACACTCTTGTGAAAAAAAAACCCATAAAATATAAAGTCAATATATGGCAAATTCAAATTAACCAATATTTCTAACTAGCTGATGGATGGTGCATATCTGACAGAATATTTACATACAGAATGTGTAAATAGTCTGATGTTGTATTCTTACAGGAATCAGAAATATGAGCTGTTTTTACTCAACATGCATAGAATATGTATTTTGTGTCATAAACCTATTTAAAAAAACAAGTTTTAAATGTTTATGTACTTATGTATTACATACTTGTTACTTTGTGGAAAGCAAAACAGCATTCCTCATCAAGGTACATTATTTTTCAGCTGCAGTACTAAGTGAGCTTTTTCTTGGATGGGATAGTAACCACACAGTCTTAAATCACTAAAGAGACTGTATTTTTGTATAATGTCAATTTAACTATGAAGAAAAAACACTCCTCGTAATTAAAAATTTCATGAAAGCAAATGTTTTGCATACCCAAATGAAGGTACCGTGGACCCCATGTCAAACTGCTAAATATATTGTATATAATCTGTATATATACTATATATAATGGTATATACCATGTGGAAGGCACAGTCAGATAATAGTTCTGTGTACTGTTCTTGTAACATTAGATCTTTTTAATAAATAATTCTCTTTTTATTGACTTTTATCTTCTCTCCTGTCAACTACATGAACGGCGTTATTTATTTCATGCAGACCACAGTATGCTCAAGATTATGGTAGTTTTTTCATGCTGAAAATATCATTATGTTAGGACTCTGCATGCTGCTACGATTTTAGGTTCAAAAATCTCCATAGATGTCCATGGTAGTTCCAACTTGAAAATTGGAAGCTATGCCAAAGAATAAACTAAGCAAAGAAGCAAGTACAAATGGAATAAATTCAGAGTTAGACTCATGATTTATTTCTTCTCAGGAAAGGAGACTTCATTAAACATGTTTTGTAAAGAGTTTGTTAAACGCATACTTCTGCTTTTATTAGGAATAGTCTGTCCCAATCTATCTCAGGTACGATTATCATAGAGTTATTTAATTCCTGTGCTCCCTTGGTACCACTGTACATCTTTATTATCTAGCAATCACATGATGTTACCATGATTTGTTCATGAGTGTTTCTCCTCCACTGTCTAGGCTATGAGATCCTCCAAGGGAGACTATATTACATTTATGTTAGGATTTCTCTCACCCAGTGCCTGGTACAATGCCTAGCACATATCAAGTGAGCAATTAATTGGATCTAATTTTATGTTGGCCTTAAAAATTTCCTTTAGAACAGGCTTCCCAAGCCTGGATGATCATCCAAATCACCTGGGAACCCAAACCTTAGAGTTCCAATTCAATAGGGAACCCTTATTTTCAAAATCTTCTCAAACAAAAGATGATGCGGGCCGGCCCCGTGGCTTAGTGGTTAAGTAAGCACGATCCGCTACTGGCAGCCCGGCTTCGGATCCCGGGTGCGCATGGACGCACCGCTTCTCCGGCCATGCTGAGGCCGCATCCCACATACAGCAACAAGAAGGATGTGCAACTATGATGTACAACTATCTACTGGGGCTTTGGGGGAAAAAAAAGGAAGAGGATGGGCAATAGATGTTAGCTCAGAGCCGGTCTTCCTCAGCAAAAAGAGGAAGATTAGCATGGATGTTAGCTCAGGGCTGATCCTCCTCACAAAAAAAAAAAAAAATGATGCAATGCTATTGAAGGGAATTTGGTGATAATAGTAAAATTTTGTATGGATTTACCCTTTGACCTAACAATCCCATGTCTCAGGATCCATCTCTAAGATAGACTAGTAAAAATATGCAATGTTAAGTGAATAAACAAGGTGTATAACAGTGAATATATGCTCCTTTTTGTATAGAAGTGGGAAAAATACAAACGTATTTGCTAATATTCTCTAAAAGAAATAATGGAAGAATAAACTAAAGGCTAATAAAAATTGTTACCTATTGAGGAGGGAAAGAATGGATATGGTAACAAAGATACAAGCAAGCTCTTTCTCAATGTACTTATTTCATAGTTTTGACTTTGGAAATACATAAATGTTTTACATTAATTTAAAAATTAAACCAAAAGGAAAAAACAAAGCAACCTCCAAAAACCGAGAATAAACAGAAAAGAACTAACCTAGCTGTATATTAACCAGATGGTTGATAAGTAAATGTTTTTCTTTTTAGAAGAATTATAAATACATAAATAAGCATTTCAAGTCAGTATTTTGACAGTACATTCCCAAGGGAATGGGCTGGGACATACATCCCAAGGACAAAACACATACACTCACACCAAAAAATACCTTAAACTATATTCATTGGTCTTCTCATGAGTAGCATAACTAGTAGAATTATTTTTGAACTAGCTAATGTATAAATGTTAAAAGTATTAAAAGAGTAAATTTTCAGGATAAGAGAAAAGAGGGACATATATAAAATTTTTTAAGTTAAATAAAATCTGTAATCTTTGATTTAAAAATATCAGTATGGGGGCCTGCCCCATGGCGTAGCGGTTAAGTGCACGCACTCTGCTGCTGGTGGCCCGGGTTCGGATCCCAGGCACGCACTGATGCACCACTTGTCAGGCCATGCTGTGGCAGCATCCCATATAAAGTGGAGGAAGATAGGCACAGATGTTAGCCCAGGGCCAGGCTTCAAGCAAAAAGGGGAGGATTGGCACGGATGTTAGCTCACGGCTGATCTTCCTCACAAAAAAAAATAATAATTAAAAAAAATTAAAATATCAGTGTGAATTCATAATTTATTTAATCTTTTCTTAAAAATGACCTATTTTTTAGCTTTGTTCACTACCAAGGCCTAGAAGAACAATGAACACCATTAATGGACAAATAATACAAGTAATGAATAAATAATGTGCAAATTGTGGTCTCCAAATACCATTTACCACTAAAAGGAATCAGGACTTTCTTGGAGAAATAGCTGTTTTAAGGTCTCAGGTAGAAAATGTACAAGAGGAGCCTGGGACTTATTATTATGTCTATAAAAACACCGTGGTCATGACAAAAGGACAACTTAAACTCCTCCCACTAGCAAAGATGGGATAACTTGAGCTCAACAAGAAAACAGACAGCTATGGATTGAAGCACATGCAAGATCTAAAAATCCATATTTTCATCCTAATACACACAAAAATCACTGGTTATGTTTGCTGATTTCAAGATTCATCATTCTGAGAATTGTTATAAAAATATAAAAAAGGGGCTGGCCCCGTGACATAGTGGTTAAAGGTTCAGCATGCTCTGCTTCAGTGGCCAGGGATCGTGGGCGCCCAGATCCCAGGAGTGGACCTATGCCACTCATCAGCCATGC